AAAAAGTCATAAATTGATAAATCAAATTTGTAATATGCGCTATGTAGTCAAGTGCAAGATCAACAAAAAATCACTATGTATAATATTGTAACGTTATTATTCATTTTGATTGTTTTAATAAGTTTATGCAAAAGCGATGAGCCAAAAGTCTGTACCTATTTCAGAGCAAGTACGTATGTATGTTAAAGGTAACAGGTCTACTTTTCTGGAAAAAAAATGTTATCCTGGCATTTTAGGTATTTATAGCATAACAGTATATTTGTGCTATTAGCATATTCCTAAAGATTCCTTTTTAAAAATTTCATATTTAAATATTAATTTATAATTTAATAACTTAAATATTAATAAAAAAATAATAATTTGTAGTCGCTTCACAAAAGTTTGATAATGTGCCCATTATGATGAGTCATACCTATTCACTTTAATTTTTTCTTTTTCCTTAACCTGCTAACATTACAGATATAAAATAAAAAAGATCGACTATTAAGCCATTAATACTTATAATATACTACTATACGTAGAGGTCGATGACCGTTTTTTATCAATATACCTACAGTTTGTTTACTTAGTACTTTGTTTGTTTACTTAAATATGAAAATATATCAAAAACAACTTTAATAATTTAATATGAAATTTAAAGGAAAAAAGCTTCAATTTTAAACCATAAAAAAAAAGTTTAATGATAACAATTTGTTCTCATTAAACTTTACTTTATTTACTTTGCTTCCTTTACTTTATTTCTACTTGCCTATTACGTGAAACTTATATCGATTCAAGAAATACTTACAATAAGTAATGATAAATACCTTGTCTAGTCATAAGTTCTGTTACAAAGAAAATGTCTAATAATTTCTAAAAAAAAAAATATTTTAATGTTTTATATGTGATTATGTAGAGTAAAAAAGATATGTTAACGAACTAAAATAGTTATTAAAAGTGTCCACCCTTAGCTTTAATGCACGCTCTTAAACAGTCTGGCCATTCATCGATGGATTTACGAACGGTTTCTATTGGAAACTTGGTCACTGCTGCCTCCAAAGATTTCTTGAGCGACTCAATATTTGGGTGAAGCTTAGAGGCCATGTTCTCTAGCACAGATCACAATGTATAGTCCAAAGGGTTTAAGTCCGGACTAGCCAAAGGCCAATATCAAAAATGTCGGCTGGGTCCTAACCTACTTTGTACAGTGCAATTACTGCAATCCTATTCGCTTTAGTGCCCCACTCCATTTTCAAAACAAATAATTTCTAAGTAAAAAAAATACAATAATGGCGGGAAAGAAGTCTATTTTTTATCGTAGAAGCTAAACTCAAATTTATGTTTTTTTTTTAATGTATGAAAACAGCCAGTAACAGAATTATGGTTAGACTAGGTAATAAGTACTATAAATGCAAATAAATTTTCAACCAGTTGGCTGCATACATACTTAAGTATAATGTTGAACCTGGTATTCAGCTAATCAACCATTGAGTTAGCTGTACAATTAAACGACTATTTCAGTAAGGAAGTATTAAAAAAGAAAGCACTAAAAAAGCACCTCCACTAGATTGCGACTCTAACAAAAGTAGATTTTTGCAGGAAACGAATGGACCAAAGATAGTCATTTCTGTTCCTTTTAACTAACATATTAAAAAACTGAAATTTGCATTGTTCAAAACTTAGATATCAATACAAATACGAAAAAGTACAAATAGAATATGAGTTGTTAATTGAGTTTTGAAAACTAATTTACTTTTATACATGAAAGAAAACCGGAAGGAGAAATCAAGAAAGTACCGTAGCGACATCTACTTTGATTTCGGGAACAAATTTTTTTTTTTTAATACTACCTCATTAGTTGACTGCGACACACGATGACGACACGAGATTGTTTTGTCTTTAACATTCAAAGTTTATATTTACAGGTAAGGAACACTATTACTACCGGAGGGTTGCCTACACTTACCCAAAGTTATATCTCATACCCGGACAGCGGCGAATATACTTCCCAGTAATTTTATTACATTATTTTTTACCATTAGATGACAATAGGTACATCATCAACTAAGATCAATAATGCAATCTCAACTATCAGAGGCATCCCCAGCCGATGGCCCAGAAGGCCATGGCTCCACTATTTCTTGTCTTTCGTAATCCTCTTACATGCAGCTTCATATGTTCAGGTCTTATTAATTTTTGAATATGGATTTTGTTTCATCGCTCGATTTAGTTTTATCTGAAGGTTTGATAGCTGCACAGCTTATATTATCGGGCTAAATAAATAAATTAGAGCTCTTTTTAACTATATCGACGAAAGAAATGCTTCTCACTACTGGTTTAGAGGTTGCTTCGATGGTCTTCTTAATTTTTCGTTTTATTAATGATTTTCATTAAAGGTTTGAAAAGTCATACGGGTCTAGATAGTCTTCTGCATGAGCGATTGATACAGAATACCTATAATTTGAATTTATTCTTTAATATAAATTCAAATTATATTACGTTTAACCGAATACTTAGTGTCTTTAAAAAACCACTAACTTAATATAACATTAATTTATGACAGACCTAACCCCTTGTCTCCAGTAATGTGAAAAAGTTTTACTTCGTTACTTTTAAAATGGCCATAACTAGGTTATGATTTGAAATGTCCGAAACCGGGTCATCTGCCCTATTGTTTTATGAAGTAAAACCTATAGCACTTCGTACAAAACGCAATTTGACGGACTGATTGTTTTTCGCCTGCTCTAACACACAAGATAAAGCACTAACGGATTTTTTCAGTTGCCTTGCCAGAATCCAGCGCATTCGACATTCACGCGTGTGACGGCTTGCGACTACAAAACACCACCGCACGTTGAGTTAACATTAACAGAAACACATGTCTATATATATCGACGAGATCCAGACGAACAATACAACGGCAATTGCATACTGGATATTTATCAAACCTGCCTGCATTACAATAACAACCCACAGGAACTGTTCGAGCAGAGCTTGGACCAGTCCTACCCCAATGTAACAATATTATTCAAATAAAATAATCATTTTAATTTAACTATTAATATATAGATTATACACCTCATATGTTTATTCTCGTGGGCCTTGAAACCCACAGAGTATAGCGATCGTAATTTAACTATTGCAAGTCATCACAGTTAAGTAATTTGTTATTACATACGTACAGAGTGTAATACTCAAATTAGTGATATTCGATAAGTTTCCTGACGATCGAGTTTGACAGTTAAATCAGTTAATTCTGCGATAGCAACATAACGATCGCAAACTCTATCGAGACTGCAACCCCAGGAGCATGGAATCCTTTTTTAAATACGCATAGGTACCTAAAATTAAATAGAAAACGAGACGAAATAAGAAAGATCGATACATAATTACAGACTACGCAAAATAAATAAAAAAACACCTTGAAAAAAAAAGGAAAAATATTTGTTCATTAAATTTGGAGGAGGATTTGTTTAATTTACCGCTCGACTTCAATAGGTAAAAAAATAATGTAGAAAATGGACTTTTTACGCGGTCGATCTGCGATAAAGTTATTAAGCGATTTCGCAAGGGTCGGTCATAGAACGGGTGACCTATTTATTATGTCGAGCTTCTCCGTACTTCAGAAGGCACTTTAAACCGTTGGTTCCGGTTACACCTGCAGTCGTTAATACCCACCAATCCACACTGCGTATGAAATAAGGAGTGGGTCATGGCCCATTCTCTTGTTAGAGACCTACTCCATCGAAGATGACTATGAAAACTTTAATTAGACCATAATATTGAACGAAGAAAGAAAGAGAATAGCCATCGTGTACAAAAAAAAAAACACTTAAACCTTCTATCTACTACTCTACTCTACTCCATTACTCTATATCATATATTCACTAAAAACAAATATTCGTCAATTTCTAAAAATGCTAATACGATTCCAAAGAAACTTATTTCGATAATTTATGATGCAACCGAGTAGGACCTGACACTGCCTCCTTTGCACTTCACGAGTATTACTATTAGTTTGATTTCGGGAATTATTATTTCCCGAAATCAAACTAGATATCGCTACGATACATTCTTGATTTCTCCCTCTGGTTTTCAACCCTTCTGGTTTTCTTTCATATTTAAAAGGAATTTTCAAAACTCAATAAACAACTCATATTCTATTTGTACTTTTTCGTATTTGTATTGATATCTAAGTTTCGAACTTTTCAAATTTCTGTTTTTAATATGTTTGTTGAAAGAAACGGAAATGACTGTCTTTGGTCCATTCGTTTCCTGCAAAAATCAACTTATGCTAGAGTCGCCATCTAGTGGAGGTGCTTTTTTAGTACTTTCGTTTTTTTTAAATACTTCCTCATTAGAAATGTTCTATTGAGAATAAAAATAAAATGGGCCCTAAGGTGTCATGTTAATTCGTATAGGTATCATGCTGGCCGCTGCACTAGATTCCTCTCAGACTAAATTCTTTCCATATGTCTTTACCTTCATTATTCTTTTCATACATGCTCGCTCAACGTAACTTATTATTTCTGTATTTCGTTTATTATCCATAAAACAATAATGAGATGCAATAAAATTCGCTTCGGAAAATCGACATCCGAACGCACTCATATTTACTGGTATTATTTTACCTATTTGCTTTATAAGAAAAAAAAAATAAAACCTACTTTAGGTATATTATTATAAGTATTTCGTCAATTTTGCATTCACAATGCTATACTGTAAAATATTCTTAATGAAAAATGCTTAAAAATCTACTTTATCCCTGGCACTCTGAGATGGGACTCGAACTCGCGACCCTTTTTGCAATCTAGGTCCTTTGGTAACTCAGTACAGTTAGAGCAGTCGCCCGGATTGCGAAAGTTCGCGGTTTCGAGTTCCATCTCAGAGTGTGAGGGACAAAGTAATTTTTTTAAGCTCATTAAGAAACAAGAATGTTATTATGGCCATTATTTATCCTGGCCATGGTCATATGCGTGTACGGTACGGGTGATGGCAATGATGGTATGTATTATGGTGAAATGGGAGAAAATGAATATCCCGAAGCATACAGGCCTCCTCCTAAAAAACCAAAAAAGGTAGAAGTGGATTATACAGGAAAACCACTTTACTGCACCGATATACATAAAGGTTAGTATTTTAATTAATGGCAATATTATTCTATAGATTGTGTATTAGATTATGGTTTTGGTATTAATAGATCACCGAAGTCGCTTTCCTTTGTCTGTCCCCTTTTAAAACTACGCAACGGATTTTGATACAGTATTTTTTAAATAGATGGGGTGATTCAAAAGAAAGCTTTTTAGGAAAGGATTATGTATTAATATAACACCACGTGGGCGAAGCCGCTGGCGAAATGCTAGTATATTATAACTAGCTTTTCGCCAGCGGCTTCGCCCACGTGATAAGGTCCAGAAATGAGAAAATTCCATAAAAAATTTCATCCCTTAATTTACCCCCTTAGGGGCGAATTGCCTAAAATCCCGTCTTAATTAGCAACTACATACGTCCTAAAAAGAACCCGCAAGCAAAATTTGAAACTCCTATCACTTGTAGTAACGAAGTTTCATACAAATTTTCATCCACTTTACCGTCTTAGGGGTTGAATACACCTACGGCCAAAAAAAACCCGTATGCAAAATTTGAAACTACTAGCACTTGTAGTTTCTCAGATTTGATGATAAGTGAGTGACCTTTCGCTTTGATATATATAAATATAGATTCTATTTCTTAATACCATTATAGTAGGTATTAGGAAACATTATAACATTTATTTTCAAAAAATAGAACGGATTTCAAGCTTTATACAACGTGAGAAATAATACTTAGGTGCCATAAAAATATGTCAAAATAGGTTAAGTCTTAGGAAAGGAGATTTTTTTTTCTAATACAAAGCTATGTGTACATAGCATAGATTGCAAATATTATAAAGCCATCAAATTCTTACTATTTGATTGCTTGTTTGTTTGCATTGGATAGGCTCCATAACTATTGGACCGATTTAAAAAAAAAAACATCTACGAGAAGCTACATAATACATAGGGGACATAGGAGGACATTGAATAGGTTCGTACATAATTTCAAGAAGAAATTGATGAACGCACCTATTTTACCTACTTCGAAATCAAAAAGGAGAAGGATATTAATGTTCCACAGGGATGTATGTTTTTTATGTAGGTATGTTCACCTATTTTTTTTAAGAATTGTTAACCGATTTTCAAAATTCTTTTATCGAAATTGAATAGTTTTAATTTAAAAAGTTGTTTTTTAAAACATGTCTTGATATTTAAAGAACTGAACGCTTTGAATTGATGGAAAGGAGCATACTCGACCCATTTTCTACCCTGATCCTACACAATGTATTACGTAGGCGGGATGATAAATAGCTAGCCCAACCCATATTTTTTATAATAACGATATAAAATCTCCTTAGTATTTTACTCATTGGTTCATTAGCTGCCAGTGTTCCAAATTTCAAATCAATCGTATAGTTTTTCTTTTAAATATTGACATTTCAAAAAGCATTCTTTTGTTTTTCTGCAAAATGGATAAAATTAAGCTACGAGCTGTGATAAAGTTTTTGCATTTAAAAGGATAAAAAGGTGGAGAGTTTTTTTCAGAGATGAAGGATGTTTAGGGAGAAAATGCTTCTTCATATGCGACCATAAAAAATGGGTGGCTGAATTTAAACGTGGCTGTACCAGCACTCAAGATGAACATCGTCCAGAACGTCCAAAAAGTGCCACTACTCCAGAAATTGTGATCAAAATTCATGATGCAGTTTTAGCTGACCGAAGATTGAAACTTTCCGAGATACATGATACTGTAGGCATCTCTAAAGAACGGGCGCATTACATTTTGACTCAAGAATTATGTATGAAAAAATTATAAGCAAGATGGATGCCGCGATTGCTTACAGTTGACCAAAAACGCGTTAGTATGCAAATTTCATAAGAATGTTTGGACCGCTTTAAGAGCAATACAAATTATTTTCTGCGACGGTTTGTTACTACAGACGAGACTTGGGTTCACCACTATATACCTGAATCAAAAATTCAGTTTAAACAATGGACGGAACGTGAAATCAGCGGGGAAAGTCATGGCGTCAGTATTTTGGGATTCGAAGGGTATATTGATGATTGATTACCTTCCAAAAGGACAAAACATAAATGGCGAATATTATGCTAATCTACTGGATAAATTACAAGTATGTATTCGTGAAAAAAGGCCCGGCCTGGCTAAAAAAAAAATCTTTCATCAGGATAATGCGCGCGTTCACATGTGCATCACTGTGATGGCGAAATTCAAAGAATTAAATTATGATTTGCTACCACTCCCAGCTTATTCTCCTGATCTGGCACCATCTGACTTTCATCTATTCCCTAAGCTCAAAATTTTTTTAGGTGGACAAAGATTTAAAAATGTCTCCCGTGGACAGTTATTTTGAAGGGCTTAAAGAAAACCACTTCAGAAAAGCTTTATAGCATAGATGGATGAAGTGCATAGCGCTTCAAGGAGACTATGTCGAAAAATAAATATACTTTTAACACACTAATTCAAGTTTTCTATGCTAGGCTAACTATTTATCATCCCGCCCTCGTAATTAGATTATTCAGAACCTATTTACGTATAGAGTGATGTATTAAATCAAAACCTTATTTTTATATTAACATTCTGTTAAACAATTAAATGATTTCAGTACAAACAAGAGATGCGAAGATAACAAGCTACTACCTTATTGAATACGGCCCCTTCTATCTTATACCAAGACATAAAGAAGTAATTTATAAAGTAAGTGTCTATTATATACTCACGCATATTATATGTTACATATCTATATTAACAATACTAAATTATAAATTTCAGCATAAAGGCTTAATTGAATAAAACCTATTTCAAATGGGAACAATGGTTTTGTTAAGAGTACAATGAACCGGAGAGCCAATTCTAATAAATAAATTTTGTTTAAATCGAATCGAAAACGGATCGAAACCGAACGATACAGTTTTTAATGGTTTTCCTATTCTACAGGGCGTCTGGTGGCAAATTTATATTTTTAAATACGATTATTTCAAAAAGTAATTAACTGTGCAGGGAGAGGGTAGCGGCGTTGGAATTATCGATCGTGCGGATTTGTCAGTCACGATGTCGCAGTGGTCGAGTGACTATCGTGCGGTCGCTGTGGATACATTTTTTAAGAGTAATGATTCTTACGTAATTGCTCGTCGACAATTTTGTTCTAAGTTCGGTATTCGGCGAATACGTGATGGACCGAGTGTAAATTTAATTCATTCGTGGGTGCAGAGTCCGGGCTACTGCTTCGACTATGAATGTCCCACGACCAGGGCCCAGTCGATCTTCAAGAATTCCCGAAAAAATTGAACTGGTTGAAAGCAGTTTACGTGAAAATCCGCGACTTTCAATACGGAAAAGAGCAGTCTCACTGAGACTTCCAAGAGCGATTATTTATGAAATTTTAAAGAAAGATCTGAGTTCCATCCTTATAAAATTCAAATCGTTCAAGAACTGAAAGAAAGTGACTTTGATTTACGAAAAAAATTTAGTGAAACGATGTTGGATCGTTTTCGCACTGTAAATCCCATTTTTTGGAACAACGAGGCTCATTTTCACTTAAACGGCCACGTCAAGAAGCAAAACTGCCGTTATTGGTCTCCAAGAACCCGCAACCCATGATTGAAATATCAAAAACCATTGCATTGCACCAGGGTAACTGTTTGGCGTGCCTTATCCACACATGAGGTAATTGGATCATTCTTTTTCGAAAATTCTCGAGGCCAGGCGACGAATGTCAATGGTGAAAATTATCGACGCATGATTACGGAATTATTTCTGCCAAAACTATGAGCTCATTCTTCGCTTCGATGAATTTGCTTCGGGAAAATTTTCCCTAAAAATTTATCACTCGCTTTAGGGACATCCCATGGCCACCGAGGTCACCCGATCTAACTCCCATGGATTTTTTTTTATGGTGCTACCTCAAAGAGAGAGTTTATAACGACAATTCCCAATCTCTTGTGGCTTTAAAAGAAAACATTCGACGAGAAATCAGCTCAATTGAACCAAGTTTACTGCAGCGTGTGGCGCAGAACACAAGGCTCCGTTTTGAACAGTGTGTTCAACTCGACGGCGGACATTTGAATGACATACTTTTTAAAAAATAAAATCCGCATTTGTATTCTATCGTTTAATACTCTTAATAAAACTTTGTGTCAATTATTACGTTTTTTATTTAAGTTTGAAAATATAAATCTGCCACCGGACACCCTGTACAAAGTGACATACGATACAATTCCAGTTCTATTTTAGCTGGAATTGTATCGTATGTCACTTAATAGAATAGAAAAAACATAAAAACTGTAGTTTCTTTCGGTTTCGATCCGTTTTCGATTCGATTTAAACAAAATTTATTTAGTAGAATTGGCCCCCTGAATGCTGTGCCGCGCTGATTTTATTTTGAACACTACATCTCCATTCTATCTCTGCCTACCTCGCAAGGGATACAGTGTGAACAAACAGATAGAGAAAATTTGCACAGTTGACACATATGAATATGCATATCAGGGTACTACTAAAGTCCAGACTCAACCGACTATAAGCCTTAACTTGTCGGTACGTAAATTCAAAATTGACTGCAGAATACTGGCCATTGTAGTAACTTAGTGCGCTGCTGTCAACACAAGAAGATGGATCTTGATTAGAACAATAGCAAACTGAAGAATATCGGTAATTTGACAAACGAACTGCGTGCGCGCATTACAGCAAAATATTAAAGATATCGTTAAAACACGATCGCTATGAGTAAATTCCTTTTCGTTCAAAGAGGAACATTTTACTCAAAGTACATAAAAATTAACATAAATTGTTCTTTTTTTAATATAATTTAATTGTTTTTAGATAATTTTCAATTAGTATATCCACCAAAATCATGCGATGTAAGCCGGAGTACAGTAATATACTATCTCGGCTACAGATCTTTTTATATAATTCGTTAACCATTGTTTTATAACATTTAATTTTTTATGTTTATATTTTTAATATTCTTTTTTATATTTTCAGTTGTTCTGTACAGACGCAAGTTCTTATGAAACACGTGTTACGGTGTGTGATTATGAAGAATCTCCGCTAGTGGATATAGGAGTAGAAGAATCACATTTGGTGATATCCCGGCAAGATTTCAACAGAGGGAAGTATCTAGGAAATGCCGTCATCAACGTCACGCAGAAATGTCCATTACAGAAGTCTAAAAATATATTTTACGGATCGAATCCTCGTTCAATGGAATCCGGTGGAAAAATTAATCCGAAAAAACTCAATTAGATTATAGTATGATTGTTGAACTATTTTAAAACGCCTTTCAAATGGGTTAAGAATAAAAATAAGGTTACGTTTACTTAATATTATTATTTTTATTACATATAAACATCTTAAAATATATTGAACTGCTTGTTATTCTTTTTTAATTCATTGTTGTGTGCAATTATATTAACTTAAAAATAATAAAAGTAGGGAAAATATATTACATCAATTTGCTAAAATACCGCCATATGGTTATTATTTAGTTAAATAAAATACCATTCTATTACAACAACTATAAACATAAACGCACAAATAACAAAGATTTCCAAGACACCTATACGTTTTTCGCTACAGTAGCAAGGCGTGACGTCCTTTCATGGCTTTAATTTGTAAGGACCGTTTTCGGCCGACTAGCCACAGTTCCACAAACATAGCACCAAACTAATTTATCTCAGACATGCTGTTACTTCTGCATTATTTCTCAGATATTAATGAATTATTTATTTATAAAACACAAAAAGGTAATCAACTAGCCTTGTATGTATCAACTGATATATCGTAAACGTTTTAGGTTCACTTTACCATGTCAAAATTGGCTAGATGCATCTGTGCGAGCGCAATAGCTTTATGTTTGCACTTATTAGCGCTAAGCCTTAATGCACATACACAATGATCACGTTAAAAAATCTAATTTAAATTAAACATGCATAAAAAAATCTTGTAATGTTAATTTCATTACATACACGTAATCATTTTAAAATCAATTAGTATGTCGGGGCCATTAGCTACGACTACCAGTGCATTAATCATTTTGAACTATTAAAGACAATTTTTGTTTCTAAAGAAAATTCAAAATTATTCTAAATAGTTTTCTCTTTAAAAATAGTGATGTTTACATGCGCATTAGTTTACTTAATCCTCGTTTTTCCTTTGGTTAATTCTTATTACACTTCTCCTCATAGATGCACGTCTTTCTTTGTAGGTAGGTTACAAAACTGTTTTATAATTGATTATTGACCTTACAACAGTTAAACTAAAGGCTTAAATAAGTATCCCGTTCCGATACACTGCTGCGTGTACTAGATAGTATAGATGTCGCATCCAACTGGTTAACACAATTATTCAATTGGATGACTAGCCATTTAATTAATTGGCGCCATTCAATTGCAAACTAGTTTTAAAGTTAAAACATTGTGACATTTGAAACGCGCGGTTTTCATTTATCTTCTATCATTCTACGACACTGCGGTGATAAGTATCGCTTTGTTTACAAAATAGTGTAAATAATTACTGTACTGTTGTTTTTTTTTCTGTGAATAGAGACGAAATAATTTATCTGTGTTATTTATATAAATGGCGTTATCTACAAGTGATTCAAAGGAACTAAAATTTCAACGAAATCTCGAAGAAATTTCGTATTATTAACTAGTGGATTAAAATTTAAGTAATATCATGATTATTGACGAGTACACATGAACACATCTCGTCATCGTCCTGCCTGCCGTGATCCCGTTCTTCGGCTCAACGATTTCATCTTCTTCTTTTATTTATGGCTTATCTGCGCATTTCACACAATTCTGCCAATGTAAAGTGAATTAATTAAATATCTACATGTAAAAAAAATCCTCAACTACGTAAATGAAGCCTTAATTTATCTGTCAAAACGAAGCATTGTATATTATCTGTCGTTGAAATAGATCGATTGTCAGCAGACTATTCTGTATAATATAGTTAATTTAAGTTCAGTGTGCTAATTTCTAATTTCAAAATCTATCGCATCGCTTTTCAAAGGTATAGCGATTGTGCTAGCGATTTATGTACGTGTAGCATGACAAATTCGAGAATGTTTTGTCTACACCCAAAAGTCACTTTTCTCAGGTGCGCCTATACGATATCTCACTCTTAACCTTAACCGAAGAAAGTGGCATTTGGGTGTAGTGGCATTTTATCATGCATGCTGTGATAGAATAATGTAATTGGCGCTTTCAGAACAAATGATGATTTGAGGGATCGGGAACTTAACAAAAACTTTGTAACTTGAACTTAAAGTTTTTTTGGGAACTTTTCCATAACTGTTTTGTGCTAGATTATTGAACTATTTTTGATGGCACGTTTACATAAGCGATCAACTTTAACATTATGTAGTAGAGATGAATGAACCATATTTTATGTAGTTCTCTACGTTCTCTTAATTTCAGGTAAAGCTTATGTTCATACACAGAGTTTCAGATACGTCTATCCTACGCAATATATGGGCTCGGGAATGAAAGAACGATATTTTCCTGTAAGTATTGGTACCGACGTTTATCTGTAGATTTTATGCAATATAGGAGCAAAGCTTTTCCCCGCAACTTCAACCGAGTGGTTTACTTTTTATACTATTCTTCAAAATAAAATAGATCTCATCAGTAGTACTTATAATCATGGTTTTTCATTTCGAAAAAATTTCGCAATTTTTGCGAATACTAGGCCCACGATTTTTTGAAAGATTTTCCTCTCGGCTGAGATCAGTTTGTCTTCTTTCTTTCAGGTTATTTTCGACGCCTCGTATCCGTACAATGTAATAGGTCTTATCATAGTGAACGATCAAATAACAGATGGGGGGGATATTTTTATTAATCGTATTGTTACGAACTGAGGTTCATAATAAAAATTAACGCCAATTAAATTCACAATTCGACGCTTTATTTACTTTATAAAAATTACAAAATAATCCGTGCAGCACTTCACTTCACTGTTAGGCCCTGGAAAGCTCAGTGGTTAAAGCAGTCGCCCGGATTGCAAAAAGTCCTGGGTTCATATCCCGACGCATAGTACCTGGGGGCTGGTGGATTGTTTAAGCATTTTTTATGAAGAATATTTTCCAGCAATAATATAGCAATGCGAATACAAAATTTATTAAATATTATAAAAATCTTTCTTTCAGGTGACTTGCATAAATCCAGCGACTCCATTGTATACATTTGTGGAGGTGTGTGATTGGAACGACCCTCCACACGTTGCTTTAATACTTGGTGATACACATATTTACGTGTCCCGCAGAGATTATTATGAAAGGTACGACAAAACTGCCCCGGTCACTATTATGCAGATATGTCAGAGAAACACCACAATGAATATACATAACCTTCCACAGCAGCCTCCACCGAAATTTAAACGTTTCCAACCTTAGAATATTATTAATATTGTATATTAATTACAATAATAAATCACTGTATAATAAAAATATTCTAATAAATAAGTTTTTATTCCAACAATTAATCACGCTTACACGACAGGCTCCAATACCATGTTCAACTTTAACTTTTCATTAACGTTTTAGAATCGACTTCAAACTTTTTAAAAGTGAAAAATAGTATTAAAACTTTTTAAAAGTGATAAAGTATTTTGAAGTACATCTTAAAAATACTTTTCTGAAAAATGCGTCATAACCGTTTTAAAGTGCGATCCTCCATTTCATAGTCTGTTAATATATCTAAAACCTTCCCCTAAGTTTGACAAATACTATACCGAAAACCGAATAAAAATCGGTTCAGCCAATCACAAACATAGGTACAATTCAAACTGAGAACCTATTTTTTTAAAGACACTTATTTCGTACCGAAGTGTATGTATCTCGTGAAGTCGAAACAAACTCGCTAAAATAGGTAAAACCATGGTTTTTGTGTGAAAATCCAATCCAAACAATCCATATTACAATTTACATAAAAAGTCGACACGGCCAGGCTATAGACTGATTAAGCAAGTAACTAGTTGAAATAATATGTTTCTGCACTATCGGTTATAGGTCATAAAATATTTAATTTGATTTAATTAGTCTTAACTCGCTTACTTTTATATTAAGCATTATTGGAAAAATCTGAAACGAAAGAATAGTGCCTACTGAGTACTGCTTCTGTAATATAAAAATTGGAATCAGCACCATTACTTATCGCTGTATTACATTTTCTAACTTTACATATCCTACAGATAAATTAAAATGATAATAAAGTGTTTGATCTTTATTGTATTGATAACTACAGTAAAAACTACAGTAAATACTACCCTATTAGGACATAATGATACTAGACGTAGCAACTTCTGGTTTGTGGACTTTGATTGGTTACTAACTAGACTTCCAACGTCGGCAGAGTTCTGTACTACATTGAGAATACGTAAGTGTCTGCCTCTTTTATTTTATTTTTTTAATAGCTATGCCCGCGACTTTGCCCGCGTGGAAATTAGCCTAAGTTACTCCTTATCACATAAACTATTATAAACTTCTTTTCTTTTCGCTGTACAGTGCTATCTCTTTTTATTCCCGGGTCGAAGTCTCTGCGCTTGTCTTCATCTCGTAGATGGCACAAGTATGACTTAGAACCATTAACTGTTGGTGGCTGTCTACCCGACCTGCATCACGACACGTTCGGAGGGGGGTGCTGCTCACTTTGCACACATTAGAGCTAATTAGTCCTCCGAACAAACAATTAAGCAAAAAAAAATTAAAAAGTAAATAATAAAAAAAATGACTGCTTAAATTGAATAAAGAAGTTGTATTAGAGTTCGATTAAACGAAATTCGCATTAAAGTCGAGGCATACTGTTTTATGAGCTATTACACAATGAAACTATAAACGCTGACAAATATTCAACCCAGCTTACCAAATTATCTGCCGCTATCAAGAAAAAACGACGAAGACGAGTCAATGTAGTTTTACTGCACGATAACGCTCGACCTCACGCCCGACCTGCATCACGACACGTTCGGAGGGGGGTGCTGCTCACTTTGCACACATTAGAGCTAATTAGTCCTCCGAACAAACAATTAAGCAAAAAAAAATTAAAAAGTAAATAATAAAAAAAAATGACTGCTTAAATTGAATAAAGAAGTTGTATTAGAGTTCGATTAAACGAAATTCGCATTAAAGTCGAGGGACCCCTTAGATTACAAATTTTACACAGAACGGTCTGCAATTAGTTTTTCTTTTTCCAAAATAGGATAATCCCACATTATAAAAGAACCTGTAGTGACCTCTTTTTTTT